AAACATGACTGAATAACGAATAAAATGATTGAATTGTGACTTAATCTCATTACATTTGTGAATTGTAGGGAACAATGATGAACATGGTGAAATTCAGGAGAAAAGACGCAAAAAATGACTAAAATGATGCAAAGTGAAAGTTCAGGGACCAAGGTGCAATTATCCAAAAGTTGATCCGACGAAAAAATCGAGAAGTTGATTAAGCCAATTGTCAATTGATGATATCGTGGGTTGATGGAATGGAAAGAATGAAGAAAAGATGCCAAGAAGTGAAGAATTCAAGTAGGAGGACCAAAATGAACATCTTTCATAGTTGGTCGCATTATACCCTCTATGCGGTCGCATAGAAGCAAACCGAAAGTAAATTGCCACAAAAATTTTACTCTATGCGACCGAATAGAAATGCTCTTTGCGGTCGCATAGAGCAATATTAGGGCAAAACCGCAGTTTCCTTTTTCCGCCGAAACTCTTATGGAAACAATATTTTTAGGGTCCTATATAAACAAAAGCTCGACCAGAACGAAGGGAACACCGTTTTTACAAGTTTTTGAGAGATTTTGAAGGAGAAACGAAGAGAGAACAAGAGGACAACATCGCGCCAAGTGAAGATTGGATTGAAGATTGATTTGGGTGATGACGTTTCTTCAAATATTTTTATGTTTTCTTCTTTTTAGCATGTTAGGCTAGATTTATCATTGCTAGGAGATCGATGAACCTTGTAATACTACATTTGATTTTTGATTTGGATATTTGACATCTTTAAACACATTTTTCGGAATTGAATGATTTATTACGTTTTTATTTCCATATGATTATTGTGCACGTAATTATGTGATTGTGGTGGCCTATTTTTTACATTCAAAAGAAGGAAAATAGGTTTGACATAGTATAAATCATCATAGGGTCCGATAGGAGATAGAAATATACCTCTGCCTTGTGTGAATTATTGGATATTCATGAATTTATAATGCATTTCGGTATGTTAGTATTCGTCATAGAAATATAGTCGAATCATATATTGGGATAGGTTTGGCATTGCTCGAGAGAGATTGCTAAATTAAAATAGGAATATTGATTCATCTTTTGTGAAATTGCGTTTCAAATTTGCATGATTGAAAATTGAACGGGTATTGCTTGGGAATTCGTGATCCTAGAGCGTTAGTAAATTCATTAATTCATAAATTCGAGTTAAATTGCATCCAAGTTATTTTGTATTTAATATAATTTTTCATTCATAATTGCATCAAAGTTTACATCTTTTTAGTTAAAGTACAAAACATCAATTTTACTTTCATGTTTCGGTTAAGGTCATAATAGGTTGATTTGAACTAATTCAATCCTTGTGGGATCGATACTTGGACTCATAGTTCATTTTACTACTTGTTAACGAATCGTACACTTGCGGTGGATTTTAAATCGAAACAAATAATTTCGTGAACAAATGACATAGCCCCTTACGTGACAATTCCAACCATTTACTCTGAAGCTCATGAGTGCCTAACTTTACTTATCTTTGTTTATAAATCGAATTGATTTTGACTTTTAATGTGTTGTAAAGTAGTGATGGCAATTTGCCCCGCCCCGCCCCGAATGAAGCGAAAAAAAAGGGTTATTAACACAAACACTTACTTGCGGTGGATTTTAAATCGAAACAAATAATTTCGTGAACAAATGACATAGCCCCTTACGTGACAATTCCAACCATTTACTCTGAAGCTCATGAGTGCCTAACTTTACTTATCTTTGTTTATAAATCGAATTGATTTTGACTTTTAATGTGTTGTAAAGTAGTGATGGCAATTTGCCCCGCCCCGCCCCGAATGAAGCGAAAAAAAAGGGTTATTAACACAAACACTTGCCCAGTTGCCCTAACCCTAAACACTACGCAGACGCCAGACACTGAAGGCAGAATCCCCACTTCCCCAATCCCCATTTCCCCACAAACAATTGCTCTAATTTTTCATTTTCCTCGTTCGAGTGGACTTGTATTTTCAAGTGCACAAGATATATTCTTGGTGGGGAGAAGAAAAAGAGGTATCTTCTATGATTCTATCGATTGATCTTTAAAGATTTCGTCTTGGATACATGATTATTGGGCTGTTTGCTGAAGTTTTCCAAGAGCTTGAGTAGATCTTCTTCTAAGGTCTTATGTTTTTGAGCTTTTATTTATTTAGTTATTTGATTTTAATTTTATAGTTGACTACAGTGTTTGAGTAGAGAGTGAAGTGTTTTGGTGAATGAATGGATGTCAATCAATGAGTGGATTAAGAAAGGAGTTATTCAGAGTCGAAAACAACAGTTGGGAATTTCCTATTGAAATTACGAAAAATGGAATTTTCTTGCTTTAATTATGATTTCTCAACTTCTCTTTTCAACTTTTTTCCTGTTATTAAAAAGAAAAGGACCTTTATTCATTGTTCAATTGAATTGACAATTTACGAGCAAAAATAAACTTCCACTCAAAGAATGTTTTTTTCTTTCAAGCTCATCACTATATATTTAAATAGAATATAAACTTTAAATTATCTTGGAAGGTCTTGATCGGGGTATAATTGCTTGCGCTGGAGCTAGATTGTATGAAAAGATCGTCAAGGCTGTTGATGCTGGCTGGAATTCATCTAGCCTCTAGTTTCACTTGTACATTGCCAAGTTATTAATGTTGTTGTATTGGCATTATAAATATCATAATTAAAATGGTTGTCTGAATAATACAAGATCATCATGCTATATGAATAAAATGATAATGTTTATTCCCTTAAAGCACGCGTATCATGGGAAGTTGATGTTTTTCAAAGTCTTCTATAACTCCAAGCCTAACTGTAAAGTGTGTCTCTATTAGTCGACCAACTTATTTATTTGAATCATGTAAATGATCTAGGCTTTGGTGCTTGCTTATTCAACTTTCTTTCTACTGCCATAATTCTTCTTGCAGTGCTGATGTCAAATCTAATCTTCATCATTGGAGATGCATATGGTTTGAGACGCCTTTATTTAATAATGCAAACACTTAAGCTGTAAAGATTGAAGGGGTATGTATATGGAATGAGGCCAACAAGTATGTAGTGTAAGTAGTCATATTGAATTAGAGGCCTATTTAGGTAGTAGTTGGCCCTCCCCCTCATGGCCTCCTCTTTTAATGGCTCTTCATTATTTTAAATTATGAACATGACAATATCAACAAGATTATCCAAAATTCAGATGATTTAAGGACAGGGCAGCCATGTTTCCAACATTTTCAGCTTTTTATTCACAGAAACTCTTCAACTCAAATTCAGAAGTACACAAAATATTAAAAGATTCAGGAACAAAACAAAATATGAACATGACAATATCAACAAGATTATCCAAAATTCAGATGATTTAAGGACAGGGCAGCCATGTTTCCAACATTTTCAGCTTTTTATTCACAGAAACTCTTCAACTCAAATTCAAAATCTGTGAATCATGACATTATGCTCATTACTATTTGTTATTTGCACAGATGTCTGGCCCAAGTAGTGCTAGAAGTATTGGATTAGGACCAATACATGAGGAAGATAGCCCAACCAATGTACCGGAGAGCAATGTCCCGCAAGAAGGTCTAGTTGAATTGTTACCAAATGCGGATGAAAGGACAATAACCTAAGTGACGAGGAGCGTGATATTGGAGAAATATCATTTGGAAAGAGGAAATTGACTTCAACTGTGTGGGAGCACTACAAAAGACAGAAAATTGGTGAGAAATGGAAGGCTATATGCAATCATTGCAAGAAACAGTTAGGGGGTGAAACAAAAAATGGTACAA